TATATTATATTATATACATAGTTATTGTGATTCTTATTTAATCAGAAATGATTATTGAATAACAAAATTAGTTAGCTCCCTAACTATATTATTAAAGGTATGTTGCACTATATCGTTTATTTGAACTATACTTTTTCTGATCCACATTAAAATACAGAGAAAAGTAAAGGTTTTCATTCGCTGTCTCTGAATCAACTCCAACTTTTTTCAAATCGATTGATATTCCAATCCTTTCTCAAATGAAACTGGTTTCAGAAAATAGACTCTCGTCACCGAGAAATAAATCTGAAGAGAGTTGAAGTTTTGGACATTCAACTTTCATGTGAATAATTAGGATATTGATTATCAACAGGTAGTTGAAATTTTTCGCATGTTTTAATAAACCAATGTGTTAAAATTAATGTGTACTGCACTGTTAAAATTGAGTGAACTGAAAAAAGATGAGAAATCAATATTTCCTCGTGTATAAAATTATTCTGCGAACATTTTTCAACTATTTTTTTCGAAAACAACAAAGAAAATTTACAAAGTTGAGTGAACCTGATAGTGGCGGCGAGGCTTGAGTATATTAATAATGGCCGCCCAAGAAAATTTTATCTGGTAGACCGACTGAAGCAAAATACCGTTCCGTATAATAGACCAAACCATTTTCGTGAAAAGGGGAGTAAGCAACCTTTCCAAAGTCTTACAACGAGCTGAAACGGTCACGTGTGCATAGTATTCCGCTCGTGTCGCACCCGTCTTGGTTAGCATAAGTGCGACTCTGTCTCAATAGCGTTCTGACGTGGTGAAAAATAAACTCGAAAACGCAACTCTCTCAATCATCAGCTTTGAACTCTCAACATTCGGAGAAAAAAATGCGAAAGATCGATGTAATATGCCTGCCCGGAATTCACTAGTAAATTTATTTGGCGATTTGACGATTATCAAAAAGTTTGTGCGCTCTTTTGAATTAAATATTGAAATTAAGATATCGCGGGTTTTGTTTTGGCGCTCTTGTACTACGCATGCGTCATGCGAAAAATCCCGAACAGGTCTGATCTTAGTGAGTGAGAAGACGATCTGGCTGCTTATCTCATTACCATTACTCATGTCATTTATTGCAGAAAAAACAATTTTCCGAGCGAATCTTTCCACTCAACAAAAACACCTATAGAGGTGAGAAAGATTGCGAAAAGTTTAATAGTATAAGTGCCACTTACCTTTCTTTAACCTCTCTTGTTCTTGGGAAGCTTCTTCAGCTGTTAAATCACCAGGTTTCAAAACTACAATCGTTGGTTGTTCTTCTGCGGTATCTTGTAAATCTTCTTCTGAGACTTCACCGTAATCCTCACGCTTAATTAAAAAAAAATTCAAATTGTATATATTTGTTATTTACATCTTTTGAAAGGGACTATACAAACTATTTTGTCTACAATTTGTTAAATTTCATTTTCTATTGTTATCTATTAGATATGTGAATTTAGTTTTGCTCAAATTGTGTTTTTGTGTATCTGTGTTTTTGAATTGTTTCTTTTCTCTTATTCTTTGAAGTGCTATATATACCAGATTTTTTTACAAGCTCTGTCAATAAGATTGCATTTTCTTTGACAATAAAGTATATGTCTATACTATTCTATTCTATAATCAGTTTTGCAGCTGTTCCCCGTATTCCACTCAGCCATAGCTTCTTGAGCAGTGCCTCATGGGAAACACAATCAAAAGCTCTACTTATATCGCAAATGAGCCCTATAGGTGATCGAGGCCATTGTCAATTCCTTCAAGGATAGATTTTCCTTTTCTGAAACATCGTTGTTCTTTTGGTATCACATTATATTTCTCTATGAATGATGTGAGTCTGTCTAAAATGCAGTACTCAAATACTTTTGCAAAAGGAGAGATTCCCGATACTGGTCTATAATTTTCAATGCGAGATTTATCTTTCTTTTTATACAGGGCAATTCAAATTCGTTTCTGAACATGGGGATCTCGTGAACGATAAGAGATAGTGTCGGTTAAATTATGACAAAGTTGCGTATTTTAGAGACCTATTCAATGATGAAAAAAAA